CTAATTTTGCCCCCCCCCCCCAAAACGTCTATTTTTGACCCTGAAATTGATCTAGAAGATTGCTTCTTCATTATTACACACACACGCACAAAAATTCGAATAAGTTCAGAATAATGAATCCATGGCTCCTCGGGTGGCTTTAAAAGAGAACTGCGAGCTCCTCGACGAGACTACAGTACCCCTCTTGTCTCCAGTGGAACTTCCATCCTGTGCCGACCCGGATACCGTAACCTTCTTGAGTCCCTTGAGTCCCTTTGCATTTGCCTTCGTATTGAACTTTTGCCAACTCTTCTTCTCTCCGTCTTTGATCGAATCCAGCTCTTTCTGTTTCTGTTGTTTCTTCAACATCTTCTGTCTGCGTCTCTCCTTCTCCGCTTGCCACTCCTTCTTTCCGTGTTGATTCGATGGTCCTGCCGCTGATTTTGTGTTGTCGAATGCGTAGTTTTTTCGCTGATTTTCGGGTGGCAGTTGCAGATCCGATGGGTCCACGATCGTTTTTGTGCCCGATGCTGGAAATTATTTCATTTTGAAGCTGAAAACACGAGAAACCTGAAACGAAGAATTTCATCGAGTTTGAATCAAAATTGACAAAGTTACGGTAGTTGAAATTTTTCGAAAAAAAATGCTCCTAGCTTTTTTTAGGTAATGACCTAGATTTGGACTTTTCAGGCTGATTTTGGCCTTTCTGGAGCATTTTCGCCAATTTTAAAGCCGATTTTGGACCATTTGAAGCTAAAATTGGTTCGAATTTTGACATTTTTTTAAGCTTGAAGATGGGTAGAAATTGCTTAAAATGAGCTGAAAAGGCAAAAAATCGGGAATTTCGAACTATTTTGGACCATTTGGAGCTAAATTTTTTGTCAAATTTTGATGATTTTTAGGCGGAAAATCGTTAAATTCAGCCTAAAATTACTTTTTTTCTGTAAATTTCAGCACTTACTGTGCGATTTTAGACCATTTTTGAGTCATTTTCGCATAATTTAGACCCTTTTCAGGCCGAATTTCATCTCAAAATTGGTTTTTGGACCATTTTTAATCAATTTTGAGCAATTCTGGACCAATTTCAGCTAGTTTCGGTCGATTTCAGAGCATTTTTGGCTTCAAACGGCCCATTTCCAACCATTTTGGACCATTTTCTCAGTTTTTTTTTTCAATTTTCAGTCAATTTCAGCCAGCTTACCGAAGTGCTCGGCACTGGCTTCGACATGGTAACGCATTTCTTATCAACGCCATCGACTCTCTGGATTTTGACTCGAATCGGAATCCCAAATTCGTAATCTCTCGATTCCCAGTTCGGCGATAACAGATGACAGATTGTGGTCGCATCGGAGAGTACTGTAGTCTGTTTACACGAGGAAATCAGGTCATGAGCAATCGAATCATCCAGAAGACGCGTTTTGGGTGCGGGTGGTCTGTAAGGAATTGAGGGGTTTTTAGGTCATGACCTAGAAAAATCTAGGTCATGAAATCTAGGTCATGACCTAAACAAATCTAGGTCATGACCTGAAAAAAGTTAGGTCATGAAAATCTAGGTCATGAAATCTAGGTCATGACCTAGACAAATCTAGGTAATGAATCTATGTCATGAAAAAGTCTAGGTCATGAAACCTAGGTCATGACTTAAAAAAACTAGGTCATGAAATCTAGGTCATGACTTGAAAAAATCTAGGCCATGACCTAGAAAATCTATGTCATGAACCAAAAAAATCTAGGAGCATTTTTTGGAAAAATTTGAACTACCGTAACTTTC